GGGTACCTGGGGCTCGGGGTGGGCTAGTGGGAGGAATGCTGAGCTGGTGGTGCCTGGTGTTTCTGGGGGGGAGATAAGTGTGGGGCTGCTGGACCAGTGGGTCTATGGGAACGTATGATGGGGAAGATAGAGAAGCAAGACTGAGTGAGGGATGCTGTGTTAAGTGGCATGGGAGAATGGGTGGGGAAGCCTGTCTTGGGTGGAGCCGTATGTGGCGATGCTGTCTAGACTAGGGGCTTGGCAGGCATCCAGGGAGATGGTGATGCTGTGAGAGAGGAGGGGCGAGTGACTGCTGCGTGTTCAAGGGAGTTGTCACAATGCAGTGATGAGCTAGGGCCCACTCTGAACACTTACTCCCATGCATATCTTTACCTGTGGGAGTAGTCGTATAGAATCCAGTGGTAAGCACTCCTGTGAGTAAAGTTGTTCACATGTGTAAGTGCTCACAAGATTAAGTGACTTTCACTTGTTCAACTCAAATACTGTGCTTCAGTTCCTTGTCTGTAAAATGGGATAACTGTTTACCTCAGAGACTGGCAATGTGAGGGTAAACTAAAATGTATGAAGTACTTTGAAGTCTTGTGACTGAAAGTGCTGTGTACTGTAAGTATTGAGGATTATTATTTCTCCCTTATTTTCAAAAGCTTAACCCTTCAAGATGGAAGAGACTGAAGAATCCAGTCCACCTGAAGAATTGCTCCATGGCTTAAAGCTTTCTGATCAGAAGTCATCAGAGAGCACCAGTCCTTTGACAGCTGGTTCCAAAGATGCACATCATTCAAGAAGCATGGACCGGGGAGATCTTCATTCCTCTTCCCAAGAGGCTAGAGCAGCAGATGAGTGTTTTCATGACTGTAATGACTCCTTTGAGGTAAAGGAACCAGGAATGGAACAGGAGAGAGACAACAGAGAGGATCCTGCAGGGAAGCAGACAGAATTAGATGAAGAATACTTATTAGAACTGGAAAAAAATATGCCAGAGGAAGAAAAACAGGTAACTTTTTATTGAGATTACATTACAATTTTTTAACTTGTTAATATCTGTTTTAATCACATTTTCTCTTTTTGATCTCTTTTTAATACATTTAATACAATGTGCAAATGAAGTTTATGGACACTACCTTTAATGCTCCTAAACTTTTAAAAAGACACTGGCAAGTTAAAATTCACTTAACTTTTTTTTTTTTTTTATTTGGATCATTAAGAATACCCTAAAGGGATGATGTCAAACTCTCCCCCCCTTCTGCCCCTCCTCTCCCTCCCCTCCAAAATCAGATTTCTGTGTGCATTTTTTACCTACTTTTGGTATAAGTAACAACTTTAGATAATTATAACTGAAAGACTGCGGGCGAGAGGGGGGAATCTGTTCTGGGGTTTTTGTTTTGTTTTTCATTTTACTTTGTGCATTTGACAGCACTTTCACTGTTTTCCCCCTGTTTAGACAGTTAAGCCCTGATCAGTGACAGGGTGGAGAAAAGCACTGTGCAAAATAAGATAACGTGGTTATAAAACTAAAATCTGGCATAGGGATTCAGAACAGTTTTAGTACCTTCTAGCAAATTTCCTAAAGCAAGTTGTCAGTTAGATTTAAAGTTGACTGTATCCCTTCAAATTATTAAAATTAGGTTGGGCGGACACACTTTGCACCATTTATGCTGCTTGCTTACGTGCACTTCATTCAGCTTGGACAATGGAAATAGACTAATCAGTTTCTATTTGGTTCTCATTCCCTACTACCATACAGCAGCGGTTTGAATTGCTTTTTCGTCTGGGAAATTTTTAATTAAAAAATAATAATAAAAAATCCAGTGAATACATTACACTTCTATTAATATTAACTTGAAAAATCTTTGTTTTTAAAAATTAAGGTTCAACTAACAATATTCATTTCAGTAATGTAATGAGTTTTTGCTAAAAATGATGCTGCTCTAAGAGTTTTTAAATATTTCTAAAGGATTTAGGAGTCAAGTTATCTAATATATTTTAATAATTTCATGAGTCCATTTTTCCAAACAGCGAAAAAAGTAAGACTGAAAAATAAAAATCCAAGTTCCAAATCTTATAAAATTGCTTTATGAGCACTCTGGTTCTCTGGTTTTGATGTGTTAGGACATAGAGCCTTTCTTTCTGTTAGCTTATTATGTAGCCTGGTTTCACGATTCCAGAATTGATGAATTCATAGGCCTACTGTAAAATAGCTCAAATGTCCTCAAAGTACTGATTCATGCTTTTCAAATCTGATTAGACTGTCCAGTTAAGGAGCGAATTTTAATAGTGCTTCTCAGCAATGTCTCAGTTTTTCTGTACAGTAATCCACTATTTAAAACTTGGGAAGGGCGTGATTCTGATTCATTTTAACTTGTGTGAAAAGGCTCCTTCAGCAGACTTATTTTTACAACTTTCTAGGTATATGCAGCATTCTTACAGATGTAAGAATGCACTGTTCTGTGTCCAAAGTATGTTTACAAGCTAAATTACAGTTAGCATGCTGAATAACAGATCATGGTTAATGTCAGAGTTGTTCAATGAGGAGGCACAACAGATGACAAGGGAAGGGACTACTGCTCTTGAGAGACCATTATTTTACAGGGAAGGAGGCTGTGTAACTTTTTTCATGGAGAGAGATCAATTTAAGTGATCGGGACAAGAGTGGAAACAAATATTTAGGGTGGAACAGAAAACCAAAAGTAAATTTTGAGAAGGAATTTGAAGGAGGAGCATGAGATGGTTTGGCATGCAAGAAGAGAAAGATGTGGAGTTGTGTGAAACTGCGAGAGAAGGATGTACATTAGTACTATGTTGTATAACAGCATCCACATCATAATCTAGACAACATTCAAAGTTGATCCTACAGATAAATATTGGAGAGTTTTGTAATGGATTTTTTTTTTTTTTTTTAGCAGCAAGCTGTTTCTTTCTTAGTTGGCACCACAGGTTTTGATCTATGCCTGGCCCTATCTTCATTTCAGAACTAAATTGAATACCAATGTGTGCCCCCCCAAAAAGTGTGGGGGGGGAGAGGGAGGGAATGGTCTTGCTAGAGTCTTGCTGTTTATTACCGTAAGTGGAAAATGATAGGGAGAAATATGTACAGTTGAGGGCAACTGAACACAGAGCTGAGTGAGCAGCCAAGTCCGTGTTAATTCATTTTTTGGTGACATTTTACTGATTTGATCAAAATATGACAAAAATGTAATAAATCCCCTTAGTCTTAATTTGCCTTCATATTGTACATGTGTCATTACATGAGCTCCTTGGGGCAGGGAGACAGCTCTGGTGGATAGAGTACTGGAATGAGACTCGGTAGACCTGGATTCTGGCCTGCTGGGTGACTTTTTGTCTTTTTCCCTCTTGGTGCTTCAGTTTTCCAATTTGTAAAATGGGGATAACAATACTTGTCTTTTTTGTAAAATACTTTGAGATCTACTGGTGAGAAGTGCAAGATCTAGGCAATGGTGGTGTATTTTTACTAGGGCTGTCAAGCGATTTAAAAAATGTATTGCGATAATTGCACTGTTAATAATAGAATAACATTTATTTAAATATTTTTGGATGTTTTCTACATTTTCAAATATATTGATTTCAATTACAAACAGAATACAAAGTGTACAGTGCTCACTTCATATTTATTTTTGATTACAAGTATTTGCACTGTATAAAAACAAAAGAAATAGTATTTTTCAATTCACCTCATACAAGTACTGTAGTGCAATCTCTATCGTGAAAGTTGAACTTATAAATGTAGAATTATGTACCAAAAAAACTGCATTCAAAAGCAAAACAATGTAAAATTTCAGACCCTGCAAGTCCACTCAGTCCTACTTCTTGTTCAGCTAATCGCTCAAACAAGTTTGTTTACATTTTACAAGATTAATGCTGCCCGCTTCTTGTTTAAAATGTCACCTGAAAGTGCTATGAGAATGCCTGTTCTCATTGTTGTAGCCGGCGTCACAAGATATTTACGTGCCAGATGTGCTAAAGATTCATATGTCCCTTTATTCTTCAACCACCATTCCAGGGGACATGCGTCCATGCTGATGATGGGTTCTGCTCAATAACAATCCAAAACAGTGTGGACTGACACATGTTCATTTTCATTATCTGAGTTAGATGTCAACAGCAGAAGGTTGATTTTTCTTTTTTGGTGGTTCGGGTTCTGTAGTTTCCGCATCGGGGTGTTGCTCTTTTAAGACATCTGAAAGCATGCTCCACACCTCTTCCCTCTCAGATTTTTGAAGGCACTTCAGATTCTTAAACCTTGGGTCGAGTGCAGTTTTTGGACAGCAGTATTACAAAATATGCTATTGCTTTGGTCAAATGGGAGAAAATATTGATGACCGAAGTCCATAACTCAAATAGACTTGCTCTATAGCTAGAGAAAGAAACCCACTTATCACTTCATCTATTGGAGAGCATCTGTGCTGCTATTTCTCCAGAGAGTTGATCTTGGAAAAGGGCTGGATTTTCTAAATTAGGTGCCTAACTGCCATTTGTGCCTTAGAAAATTTACCCTTAAGTGTGGAAGAAATATAAATTGTATTAATACTATTTTGTCAGTGCTAAGTCATTAAAACACAGCCCATAGCAGGCTACTGTTACTACTTGTTTGTTTGTTTTTCAGCATTCCTAGCTGACTTATTTAGTCTTATATTTCAGTTGGGTTTTTTTTTTTCACTTTTCTGGAAAGTACAGTTTCTACCAACTTGAGACACTGTGCACACAAAAGTAAGAAACTTCGTCTATAACTCTTGTATGCTGATGTGAAGTGGCTACTGTACTCCCTTTTGAAAACTTTACAGCTCTGCAGGTTTGCTTCATCACTCCTGCATTTCACACTAACTGGCACTCTGATTGTCTCTGTCAACAGAGAAGCCAAGGATTTAATGGGCATGATGGAGACTGAGCTCATCCTCTCACGCTTGGATTGTGACCAGTGATAGGGCTGTGAGAAGATACTTAATATATCTGTTCTGTTAATAAATGGAGGGCACATGCCTCCAGAGTTGTCAGTGTAACAATTCTTATTGCTGATAACTGCAGTAAGTCTTGGGATTGACCTGAGTACCATACTCCTAAGGTGAAACTCAGATGCTTGGATTCATGATGTAGCAATGACTTTATAAGACTGCAGGGGGAAGCAGACAGCTGCTAAATACTGATTTACAATCAGGAAATGGAATTTGAGGCTGAGAAATTTATATTTCCTTAACGACATAAGTGACTTTGTTATGTACCCTTTGGTGATTAGAACCTCATTCAGTATAAGCAATTGCTACTTAGTGACCTTACCAGAGAGTGTATAAGACCCAGAGATGCATTTTCACATTGTACAAATAGCCTCAGAGAAGAAGAGGGAGAGCACATGCTCTTCTTGTGCCTTTGGCAAAAATGGATCTAAGTAAAGTACACCATTAAGGCTAAATCAATCCATCGAATAAAATCTATAAGAGAAAGCCAGAGGAGTTGAGGTGGGGGGAGTGTTGCTGAATGGGGAGTATTGTAGGCTAGCAGTGCAGGTGTCTATTAACTGTGACAGCTGAAGGATGAATGTAGGGATTTAGCTTCTCATGCATTTTTATAAAGCTGATCACTTGCAGAATAAAAAGTAAAGAAGCATAGGTTGTTTTCTTTCAATAGCAAATGAGCTTACTTTGCCTTCATTTTTAACTTTTGATATTTTTTTTTTCTTGACAAAGTAGCAGAGTTCATATGACTGTACATGATGGTTTTTCTCTTGGGCTTATACGCTATTGTCAGGAGGCCAAGATGACTTTTTCCCCATTACTCTGGGTTAGTCTTTAATCTTCGGTCTCTCTTGCTGATTGCCAGACCGATTTAACCTGTGATTCTAATTCCTTTAAAACTCTAACAATAACTACTTTTTCAGTTCCCATTTTCATAAACCTCTCTTAATCAGGGTCTTTTTGACCATACTTAACATTAAGGGATCACTTGATTAGTTTGTAAGAAGTAACTGCATTTAACTTAATATCTTCACTAGGCTTTTTCTTTTAAATTTCAGTCAGTTCATGCATCCAAAAAGCAAATTCCTGACACTGGAAAATTCCTGACACAGAATTATTATTCTGGCTCATAATTTCCCTGTTCATAGGCTTTTACACTGTAGAAAATGGACCTTTGGATTTCTCTTATGAATAGCACCATATAATGAAGTGTAAGTCAGAACAGTTATACTTGATTCAGTGAACATATTAATAAAGCCTCAGGGAAAACAAGGTGTCAAGATTAGTTTCTCTCACCCTCCACCCTTCCCAATAGAGCATTTTGAAAGTCCATTCTGACCCACTTCTGTCACTGATTGAAGAACAGGCAATCTGCCCTGCAGCTACTTAAATCTCACTCTGAAAATAAGGCAGTGGGGTGACATTCTGCAAAATTTGTCCCAAGGACAAGTCACTTACAATTTTTTTCCCACTTATAATGGAAATAAAATTGGTGGGTCACAAAACAGTTCTGATATAATCACAGTGAAGTGATGACCAGTCACTTTGCAGTTGTTACCCATGTGAGCTGGAAGTACAGTGTAAAAAGCAGGAAGCTTACAGCTTCATGTTTTCCAGTAGGGTCATCGCCTCCTAACAGTGAGGTTTAGAGGCAAACACCGCTAGCTTGTTACATACCGGTACTTGAATATTTTGTTCACTGTTGTAAAATCTATTTGTTTTTGTTTTGTTCTCCTCAAGAAGCATGTACCAGTAAAGAATATACATTTCTCTTCTATGCAACATCCATACATCAGGAAGTGACCTTGCAGGTGCTGCTGTTCCATTAGCATTCCCCTAAGAGTGGGCTCAGCCTTCAAATGTAGCTGTCTAAATAGGCCAGCCAACTCCTGAATGTAGAAAAGGCATTTATACACTTATGTGCCAACTTACTCACTTTATTTAAGTGCCCACATGTTCTCTTTGCCTTCATGCTGGAGTGCTGCATAAGGCCTTATGTATAACTGGCTTTTCTCCATTATGGACTTTTGAAGACAATGGAGGTCTTTGCTCATAATCCAATGCCTATAGTATCTCACCATGCATGGGGTTTGTAAATGGTAGAGTAGAACGCTGTGGAGCACACTTCATCCAATGATGAGTGGATGAGTTGTTGGGTTTTTTTTTGTGGTACCTGAGCATGTATCCAAAGATCAGAACAAGATCCTGGAGTGTGAACTTATTTGTGATGTGAAAATTGTATGGTGTTCCCTGAAGTCTGCTCTGTGAAAACTATTGTGGTTTCTGGATTATCATTGTGGTGTCTTTGGTTGGGAGAACTATTTTCCCAGGGCAAAGCAGACAGTAGAAAGAACCCCTCTCTTTGTATTGGGTTTGAGTCTGCTTCTTGTCACAACTGTGAAACAATGCAGCTTTCCACACAGACTACTATATTTAGCTGTTTCCAAGGAGATGTTCTGTGTGATATAGATAATTGCATTAATCCTTGATTTACACAATCTGCAGGGAAGGAAACTGCTCCTTTCCCCAGTGTTGGCTTTTTAATCGCTCAATGAGCTATAATTTCAAAGCTTTAAATTTGAACACTCTGTGTGTGCGTGCGCGCGCACATGAGAGTGAGAAATCAATGGTCAAAATGATCACTTGCCACAGAAATAAGGAGCTGCACTTTGTCTCTTGAATCTCAGGTCCCTTGTACTCTTACCCTATGACATTTTGTTTTTATTTCCATGAGCTATATTTGTGTGCCAACTATTCCTTAGTGATCATTTGGAGATGGCTTGGTGACATCCTTCTGTATTTGCAGTGTTAGCTAAAGGCATTCATGCCAACATCACTTATGCCAGCAGTGCTGTTAAGATATTTGTAGTTGAAAACACACCCCTGCAATTTTCACTATCTAATGGAACCTTCTCCCAGCCTTTGGGTTTGATGGCTGGTTGTTTAGTCATCTGTGAACAATGCTAAGAGATACAGCAAGGAGAAAATGTGTATTTCTTCCCTTAGTAAGCCCATTTATTTGTGCCAGTGACCCGTTTTTCAGCCTCTAGCTGCTTGTAGTGCCTGACATCTACATTACTTTCGCTGGAGAAAAAAGAATGTTCTGTTATGCAGAAGGATTGGTTAATAAGTCTATTCCAAGACAACAGTATCACATTTGGACTAATCTGTTGTCTCTGCTGCATTGGAAGTGCACTTTTTGCATCCCATCAATCTTAGACCCTCCTCATCAGGGTTCACAGCCAGCTGATGATAAACTTCTTGGACAGGATGTCTCAAATAATAACTTGCAGGACTTCACTGACTAGACAGATCTTATGTAGCCAGTTTGAATGGAATGAAATTAAATGGCACTGGAAAGGTACTATTGTTCCAAAAGAAGAAGCAAACAGTAAATGCCAAAATGCAAACATTCATAAAAAAATTATTTTTAAAATGTCCCTTATATATATGTTAGTTTATAAATCAGAGTCCTTTATGCCCCTATCCAGTGTGATGATACACCCAATATGTATAATAGTAAATTAACTGTTTGACAGCTACAAAGGTGTTGTCTGTATTCTCCTGGTTACTTTTCATTCTGATTTTCTTTCATAGTAATGCAGAACTAGCTGACCTACTTGTTCATTTCAGTTAAATCCAGTGAGACACTGAAATTCTCTGATCTGTTGCAGAAAAGAAGAAAGGAGAGCACAACGTTAAAGGAGAAAGGAAACGAGCAGTTTAAGAAAGGAGGTGGGTTAATGTTTTTAACATAATAAATTCTGAAATTAGTTAATACTTAGATCAGCAATTAGATACTGTAGCAAACCTTAAGGTAGATATATTTTCCATCACCCTTGGGTCTCTTTTCCCCTCCCACAAAACCATCAGCAACCAAAGGGGAGGAGGGAGATCTAATCGACAACAATAAATGCTAGAGACCAAGTGCTAAAAAGTACTTGGTGCAATGCACACCAAAGGAAAATATCATTAATATACTTATTAGAGTAATGATCCCACAGAAATGGATACTTGCCTCCAAGACAGCTCACTAGAGAGAGCTTTCTATAATGGACGATTGAAACTTTGTGATATAATGTGTAAGGAAAACTTATTGCTGGAATACACAGGAGGGGAGAAAAATCAACCTGCTGGGTCCTTTACTTTTTGAAAATCTGACCGTGATTAATAACAAGTATCTCCTTCCTTCACTTACCCTTTGCTGTATTAAGCTTGGATATGGGTGTATCTTCAAGGCATGATCTAGAGAAGAACTGTTCTTTAAAGAGGTTTAGCATCTCTCATCATGTCAGGATTCCTCCCTAGGTTCTGAGAGGAGGTACTGATGTCATGTCATGATTTTTCAGATCAGTGCTGGGCTGGCTTCAACTAAAGAAAAACATTTGTTTTTATTTTGAAACTTTGCTGCATTTTTTAACTTCAAAGAAAGTGCAAAGTTTGGAAGTGAGGCATATGAATTAAAATATGCACAGCAGTGGCACAAATCTAGAGATTGTAGTACTGGGTCCATGTCTTGGCATTTTAACATAGCTAGTATCCTACTAGAGGTGCTGGTTTAAAATGACAAAACTATTGTCATTGGTATGTATTCTAATTCAGCAGGGCACTTTTTCTGAGAGCAGCTGACTGGATGACTACACTACGAAATTAGGTCAAATTTATAGAAGTCGATTTTTTAGATTTTATACTGTCGATTGTGTGTGTCCCCACTTAAGAAGATTAACTCGGCGGAGTGTGTTCACAGTACCGAGGCTAGCGTCGACTTCCGGAGCGGTGCACTGTGGGTAGCTATCCCACAGTTCCCGCAGTCTCCGCTGCTCATTGGAATTCTGGGTTGAGATCCCAATGCCTGATGGACAAAAACATTGTCACGGGTGGTTCTGGGTACATGTTGTCAGGCCCCCCCCCCCCCTGTGAAAGCAACGGCAAACAATCATTTCTCGCCTTTTTTTTCCCCTGGGTTACCTGTGCAAATGCCATACCATGGCAAGCATGGAGCCCGCTCAGCTCACCGTCACCGTACATCTCCTGGGTGCTGGCAGACATGGTAATGCATTGCTACACAGCAGAAGCTCATTGCCTTTTGGCAGTAGACGGTGCATTACGATTGGTAGCCATCGTTGGCGTCTCCTGGGTGCTCTTTTAGCCGACCTCGGTGAGGTTGGTCAGGGGTGCCTGGGCAGACATGGGTGCTCCTGGCAGACCTCGGTGAGGTCTGTCAGGGGCGCCTGGACATAAATGGGAGTGACTCCAGGTCATTCTCTTTAAGTTTCGTCTCCTGGAGATTCAGTCCTGCCTGCAGTCGTACTGCACCGTCTTCTGGCTAGCAGCCAGGAGACGACGATGGCTAGCAATCGTACTGCACCGTCTGCTGCCAGCCTAAGATGTATAAGAGAGATGGAGTGGATCAAAACAAGAAAGAGACCAGATTTGTTTTGTATTCATTTGCTCCCCCCTCCCTCCCTCCGTGAAATCAACGCCCAACAATCATTTTGGTGGGGTCTGTCAGGGGCACCTTGAAAAGTTTAATGGAGATTCAGTCCTGCTTGGAATAGTGGGGGGAGGGATAGCTCAGTGGTTTGAGCATTGGCCTGCTATACCCAGGATTTTGAGTTCAATCCTTAAGGGGGCCATTCTGTGTGACAGTTATGTGTGTTTCTCCTTGATGCAAACCCACCCCCGTTGTTGATTTTAATTCCCTGTAAGCCATGTCGTCAGTCAACCCTCCCTCGGCACTGCTGCGGGTACCTGTTATAGCCTCTGTCCTTCATGCCCTTGGAGATTTTTTTTCAAATTTTTGGGCATTTCGTCTTTTGGAACGGAGTTCTGATAGCACAGATTCGTCTCCCCATACAGCGATCAGATCCCGTACCTCCTGTTCGGTCCATGCTGGAGCTCTTTTGCCATTCTGGGATTCCTTCATGGTCACCTCTGCTGATGAGATCTGCACTCACCTGCAGATTGCCACGCTGGCCAAACAGGAAATGAGATTCAGAAGTTCGTGGGCCTTTTCCTGTCTACCTGGCCAGTGCATCTGAGTTGAGAGCGCTGTCCAGAGCGGTCACAATGGAGCACCCATTGGCCAATACCATCAAATTGCGATCACACTACCCCAGATTCGACCCAGCAAGGTCGATTTCAGCGCTAATCCCCTCGTCGGCGGAGGAGTACAGAAATCGATTTTAAGAGCCCTTTAAGTCGAAAAAAACGGCTTAGTTGTGTGGACGGGTGCAGGGTTAAATCGATGCAACGCTGCTAAATTCGACCTAAACTCGTAGTGTAGACCAAGGCTGAGTCTTGCTTTTGTTATAAAACTGATGTTGCTTCAGATATTGAGGAATATGTTTCCAGAGAGTTTAAGCTATGTGGCTCTCACTAATTCTACTGGCAAATGCAATGAATGTTGTGTTTTTGTTTGTTTTTTTTTCTCTTCAATCTTCAGAATATGGGGAAGCAGAAGACTCCTATACAAAAGCTGTACAGGTTTGCCCAGCCTGCTACCAAAAAGACAGGTCTGTTTTCTTTTCAAACAGAGCTGCTGCAAGAATGAAACAGGTGAATGTACTTTCCGAGTATTGTGAATATACAAGAGTCAATGAATGAGCTTGAAGGAATTAAGCCATAGTTTCCAGGTTTTATTATTCACTGACTTTTTGTTGTTGTTGTTCATCTCAGTTGAAATACTGGTGGAGATTTGGGGCAGGTGGTGGGGGGAACTGATTTGAAAAATGCAGTTGATCCCACTGGTTGGAGTTGAGTCTTCTGTAGGCACTTCTGTCCATGCTACAACTCTTAACTGAGTTCATAACCAGTTGTGGGCATGGCTGTCTCTAAACATGGCTAGTGTCTCCACACCACCTGGTTACTTCTTGTTTAGTAACTTTGGCAAGTCAGTGTTTTGGCCCTGGTAGAGGCCTAAATTGTCATTTGATTGTCTTCCAGTAACCAGTTCAGTGCGTTATGACATGGGCAGGACTTCCTAACCATGCTTTTATCAACCAGTCTGGCTGATCCTCTTTTGTCTCTGCTGTCTGTGTGGTAGGACAGACTAGAGCACACTGCCTCATATGTTACTGCTTCTGCTTTTTGTGTATGTCCTCTCTCCCAGTGGTTCTCAACCAGGGGTACATGCATACAGCCAGGGATTCAGAGGTGTTCCGGGGCTAGATACATCAACTCATCTAGATATTTGCCTGGTTTTAGCTACATAAAAAGTACTAGAGAAGTCAGTACAAACTAAAATTTTTCATACAAACTATGACTTGTTTATACTGCTACATTTCAGTGTATAGTACAGCAGTTCTCAACCCACGGGCCACATGCAGCCCAATTAGTGCACAGCTGCGGCGGGTGAGGATCCGGGAGCTGCCCTGCCGGCTTGCGCTCCACTCCTGGACCCACTCTGTGGAGGGGTCTCTGGGTGTGAGGCACTTGGGTCGGGGGTAGGTTGGGGGAGAGCATGCTGTGGTTCTCAACCTGTGGCCCAGGTAACACATTGCAAAGAGGTTGAGAACCACTGGTATAGTATATAGAAGTACAATATTTATATTGATTTATTTTATGATTCTATGCTAGCTTTCTTATTAGTAGCCATCTTTTTAGTAACTGTATGCTGTGACACTTGTATTTTTATGTCTGATTTTGTGAGCAAGTAGTTTCTAAGTGAGGCTAAACATGGGGGTACACAAGACAAATCAGACGCTTGAAAAGGGTACAGTAGTCTGGAAAGGTTGAGAGCCATTGCTCTATCCCCTGCTTAGTCACTATGGGGTAGCTGTCCAGATATTACCAGAATGCACTGATACACTGTTAAGCAGCATGGTAGCTGTGGAGACACAAACATAGCTGTTGGGAGAAAATCTGTTGTGGGGAACCAAATCGACTGTATAATTTGTAACCAGTCAAGGGAACTGTGCCTCTCTCCAGTTTTTTTTTTTAAATCAGTTAAAAGTTGTGGTGTGGGTATGATGGTCTTCATCACAATAAATGTGCCACCAAAATTGCTGCAGAACTGTGGTGAAAAAGAGGGTAATGGAGATGAGTGAGGAGCCAGCCAGGACAACTCCTTAGTACCTTATCCGGCTCCCATTTAGGCCTGAGAATTATGCCATTGACCTCAGTGGGAACTGGAGCAGGACGTAACAGTGAGCATTCAGCAATACTTCCCTGCTTCACAGGGAAGTTGTGGGTCTAAATCAGGGGTAGGCAACCTATGGCACACCTGCCGAAGGCAGCACGTGAGCTGATTTTCAGTGGCACTCACACTGCCTGGGTCCTGGCCACCGGTCTGGGGGGCTCTGCATTTTAATTTAATTTTAAATGAAGCTTCTGAAATATTTTAAAAACCTTATTTATTTTACATACAACAATAGTTTAGTTATATATTATAGACTTATAGAAAGAGACCTTCTAAAAACATTAAAATGTATTTCTGGCACGTGAAACCTTAAATTAGAGTGAATAAATGAAGACGTGGCACACCACTTCTAAAAGGTTGCCAACCCCTGGTCTAAATTAATTGTCTAAGGCACTTGAATACCATGTGTCATAGAAAAGCTTATACAGTTTTCAACACTGTTTTTATACAGGCCACGTGTATGTTGATAAATAACCTCTGACTGCTTAAGAGGTGGAATCAAGAATTTAGGAGTACAAAGCAATTTCTCCTTCTGTTGCTTTTAAATGTACTCTGAATAGACACGTTTTTCTCCCTCCTTCCTCTCCACCCCCACACCAGTTATTTACAATACCTGAAGAAAACTTGCATGACCGTCCAACATGCAGGGATAGAATTGGGGATAGAAAACATTGTGACAGTCTCTAATATTAGAGTACTCTGTCCTATAGCTGATATTAAGTGCCAGAAGTCAGCTGAGCATTTTTGCTCAAGTAGAACCACCTAGACTTCTTATACTACCAGACTATTAGAGCAGAGAATAAAATGAGATTCTCTCTAGCAGCTGCTGCAATAACCTCTCCAACATGAATGCTATCTGAGCATATTTATAAACAGCAAAATATCCTCACAATCCAGATGTTAAAAATCCATGTCACTGGAGAACTAATCCAGTAATTGCCAAAGTGTACAAGGGAAATAAATGAGTTGGAGATGAACAATTAGTATGATGTCTCCTTATTAGGGTTGCCAACTTTCTAATGGCACAAAACCAAACTCCTACCCCTTCTGAGGCCCTGTCCCTGCTCGCTCTACCTCCCCTCCTTCTGTCGCTCGCTCTTCCCCCACCCTCACTCACTTTCACCTGGGCAGAGGGTTGGGGTGTGGAAGGGGGGTGAAGGCTCTAGGGTGGGGCTGGGGATGAGGGGTTTGGGATGCAGGAGGGGGCTCTGGGCTGGGGTAGGGGGTTGGGGTGTGGGCTCCTGGCGGTGCTTACCGCAGTTCCAGAAAGCGGCTGCCAGGTCCCTGCAGCCTGTAGGCACATGGGTGGCCAGGGAGGCTCCGCACACTGCCCCCATGCCCACAGACGCTACCCGCACAGCTCCCATAAGTCGCGGTTCCCAGCCAATGGGCCTTGCGGAGCCGGCACTTGTGCCATGGGACCGCAAGTACCTGGCAGCTGCTTCCGGGAGCCATGCAGAGCTAGCACAGGCAGGGAGCCTGCCTTAGCCCTGGGCCTCCGCTGTGCCACTGACCGGACTTTTAACAGCCCAGTGCCACCAGGGTCCCTTTTCAACTGGGCATTCTGGTTGAAAACCAGATGCCTGGCAACCCTACTCCTAACAGAATAATGGCTTTTGGTTAGGCTAACACCATGCCCTGGAGATCTAGAGTATCCTTGTTTTAAGGGGCTTCCACAATAACTTGTCAGTCTTTTTTAATTTATGCCTGCTACAGATACGTTTACTCAGCACTACAATAGATATTTTAATCAGACATTTCTTGAAAGACCAGCTGGTGCCTTATGGAAAAAACACTGTTTAGAAGCCGTCCTTCTCCTGCATTGTATATCTCTTTCTCAGACTTTGTTCTCTGTTACTCCAGTTATTTTGGATGAAAATAAGATGTTTATTTCTTAAACTTTTTATCTGCCCTCATTCCAATACAGCCAGAAACCCTCTCATCTTCCATTGCAAGTTAAGGCAGAGCACATGTGCACTAAAATCTAGTCTCTTCCACTGCAAGGTGTCTCCTGCATTGCTCTTTGTTAAAGACAGCAATCTGCTGTCAAGTGGATCAGCACACATGGACAGGGACTGAGTTGGGAGTATGGGGGAAGTGTTGGCCTATGGCAGGGGTCGGCAACCTTTCAGAAGTGCTGTGCCGAGTCTTCATTTAGTCACTCTAATTTAAGGTTTCGCGTGCCAGTAATACATTTAAACGTTTTTAGATTATCTCTTTCTATAAGTCTATAATATATAAATAAACTATTGTTGTATGTAAAGCAAATAAGGTTTTTAAAATGTTTAAGAAGCTTAATTTAAAATTAAATTAAAATGCAGAGCCCCCCGGACGGGTGGCCAGGACCCAGGCAGTGTGAGTGCCACTGAAAATCAGCTCACGTGCGGCCTTTGGCATGCATGCCATAGGTTGCCTACCCCTGGCCTATGGCTTCAGCACTAACCCCTCAAGCAACTGGACCAGATCCCAGTAGGTGGAGAGAAGTGCAGTAGACATTTCAGTGGAGTAGAGGCCTGCATGAGTGACTCAGCCTTTTGCACACTGCCTTGTGTGAGCTGCTGATTGCAAATTAGATGAGTATGTAGTCACATGACTCTGACCCCAGCTGCTGTCATGGAAAGCTGGCCTCTTTCTGGCTTAGACATCTCTAGCATATTGCTAATGTAATTTAAGGCTTTTAATGGGTCTCTACAAAAGTATTCATTCCCAACTGGCACTTATAAGTATGTATTCAGTTATATCACTAGAAATGGGGTAAACAAACTTAACATTATTGATTTGGTTTTAGGACAAGACAGAAGCTGCCCTAAGTGACTGCAGCAAAGGTACGATCCTTTTTCCTGATTCTGAACGTGCTGCTGTTGCGCAATGTCATTGGTGCATTAATCATGCCACTCAGTAGGGCTGCAATTTTTGGCAAGGCATTTATTTATTTATTTATTTATTTATTTTTAAAAGAACTCAGAGGGCGGTCATGGTGATAGGGGCAAGTATCTTGGATTAACTTTATAAAATGACTGTCAGGCTTTTACTACTTGAAATGTCCTGTTTCTCCACTGCAAATAAGAATGGTGTTTGCAGTGTGATAGTAGCAAAATCTTATTACAGAAGCTGCCCTTTCTCCTGCAGATACTCTTGTAAAGCCAACCCAGCTCTCCAAATCTTAAGAGTTTTAACCTTGAAGTGCAAGGAATTATGTGGTCCCTTGGAATGAAAGGCACCAAATCCCTTTGTCTAAGTCTTTTACGTTATTGCTGACCTCGTGCTCTCTGATTCCCATGCTGCCTAGTTTTATCTCTTGATGAAATCTGTTCAGCTGTGTACTGTTGCATCCACCAACTCATCCCCATGTAAATCCCCAGATGTCTGGTCTTGGATGTGTGTTATACTCTTTAACAGCTGGGACAAAAGTCCAGCCTTACCAAATGGAGAACTAATTCAGTGGCTGAGTGCCATCACTGCTTATACAGTAAGCATTTTTTTGTAAGTGTTACTAGTATTTTTGCCTTTTTGAAAGTAGCAACATTTAACTGGCTTGTTCCACTTTGCTTTCTTCCTCTTCCTGTTTTTTTGTTTTTTTTTTTAAATGCTTCTACTAATTTTGTACTGGCTGAAAGAAAATCAATCAGCTGTGCAGCGTTACAAGATTTAAACTTTACCATCATTTGACAGTCTCTAAGGGCTTGGCTCACAAGCTGCAATGCAACACTTAGAGCATAGCAATGCAATTCACACCGACCTGCATCTTGCTGACTGCAGCATTGTCCTTGTCCCTCTAAAAAGAAGAAACAGGCTATGTTTGGCTAGAATATTTTGGGCTGCATTGCTTGCATTAAGAATTATTTTAGTTTTGGGGTTTTTTTGTTTTGTTTGTTTTTTAAAAGGTGCTTTTTCCTATGTTGAAAACTGGGTGGAGGACTGTCTTGAGAGCTTGTTTATTAGCAGGTTACTGTTGTACAGAAGCTAACTGTTTAGCATTCTGTCCCAGCTGCACCGGTAATCATGGTTGTGTCTGTCAAGAGAATAGGGAGATGAAAAAGCATACATTGAATCAACATGCTTCTTTCAGAGTAGTAGCCGTGTAAGTCTGTATCAGCAAAAACGACGAGGAGTCCTTGTGGTACCTTAGAGACTAACAGATTTATTTGGGCATAAGCTTTCATGTGCTAGAACCCACTTCATCAGATGTTCTACCCCACGAAAGCTTATGCCCAATTAAATTTGTTAGTCTCTAAGGTGCCACAAGTGCTGCTTTCATAATTTCTAGAAACAGTCTAAGCATTCATTTATAGGTACTGAACCAGATTTGATCTGTTATCAGTGTAGATTCGGAAGCACTTCAGTGGAGTTACTTTTGACTTACACCATTAGATGAACATAAATTCAACCTCTGCATCTCGTCTGTCTAAAAGTGATATCCTTTTATCTTCTAGATCCTGTATTTGTATTATATTGGCTTTATAGTACTCTGCAAATTATATCTGAAGTGTCCAGAATAATTACTATGTGTAATATAAATAATACCCCAAGTCCTGGTACCTTCCTCTGACTTCTTCTGCTATGTATCCCACATGTGCAGTGAGAAAAGTTCCAGGATGCATGGAGCACAGCAGTGAGGCAAAGCACCCTGGGATACCTGCCCAGAATTCTGCACACTTACTTTGCATAAAGTCCATGCGGCCATGTAGACACATTAATCTGTACTGAATCTGAAAACAGTTGGCCATATATATGCAGTTATTGCATGCTATCCAATACCAGTTAGTATGCAAAAACTCTGAATTAAACCTCCCCTGTAGACAGGGCCGTGGAGATGCAAAGAATCCTCTCTGAGTCTTTCCCTTGCAAATGCAGAATATAGTCCCATCCTCCTCTCCCCACCCCCATTAAGATATATCTTATATTAAACTGGTACTATGCTTGATTTTAATAAATAAAAAAATAAATAAACTTCAAGATATATGTATTCACTTAACCATTAATGTGAGGGGGTGTAGAAACATTCCATTAAAACATACCACTCTGTTTTAATTTTCCAGCAATCGAACTAGATCCTAACTATATCAGGGCTCTGCTGAGGAGAGCAGAACTATATGAAAAAACAGAAAAACTAGATGAAGCCCTGGAGGATTATAAAACAGTACTAGAAAAAGATCCATCAGTACATCACGCGAGAGAAGCTTGCATGGTAAGCATTTACACCATACTTAGGACTGACCATAAAATTTACATATGCAATGCATTGATACTACTTATGCAAGCTGCGTCACTCACTGAGCTCAACTTAACTCTCGCTAGTGATGCAAGCAGGCTTAAATCTCAGATCGTGTTATATTCATGATAGCCAGATGTATATCCTTGTTCACTCAGGATCTCAACTGTTCAGTTGACTAATGTTGGTATTAATAGTAAAGTTACAACTACATTTTGTCTTTGGCTCTGAAAATTGATTGGGTTTCTCTCCTCGTGCCTTCTCACACCCTCCCTTCCCCTCTCCCATGACATTATATTTAAAAAAAAAAAAAAGGTCATGAAGAATTGTAACAATTTTATATCTACATAGTATGGAACTGTTTAACCTTTATAAATGGGTGAAAGTAAACATGGGTGTTCCTGCCTGCAGGTGCTTGGCCTATAATAACCATGTGTAAGTATGCTTTACTTGTTGTTAAACAGCCACCCCACCCAGTTTATCACTCATACACTATAGTCCTTTGTTATCTTTGTTCTGTTTGATGTTTAATTTTTATTCTTTCCCTAAAGCAAGCAATAATTTATAATGTTCCTGTGAGGAACCATGGCAGGATAACATTGAGGCTTATGTTAATTGTCAGAAATGAAGCTGAAAGTGAATGTTCATATGTGCTTCTACAGTCAGATTCCCTTCAGCGTATGCTCTGTGCAATATAATATTCAGATAAATAGCTAAAAAATCTTGATTCAAATTCTGACTTGTTGTTACACCTATATATGTGCCAAGCAAGTGTTCAGGGGCGGGGCGTGTGTAGTATGCACCAGGCACTTGAGCCCCTGGTCCTGGAATGGAAATCGCATCCCACACCACCTCCACACTCTTGCAGAAGTAATGTGCAAAGGCATCTGGGATGGAAGGAATTGGTAGATCAGAAAAAAGGCGCACAATAACACTGCTTTTGCTAGTTCTTCAGTGGGCTGGAATTTATGAAAAGCACTATACTGTAAGACCTAGGTATTATTATACTGTAAGACATAGGTATTATACTGCAATCATTCTTCTGAATAGTGACTCTCTGGCCAAACATCTCTACAACACACTTTTCTTTTTTCTGAAGGAGATGGACATAAATAACTGAAATTCAAAATAATAATTTCACTTTTGTCTTGATCATGTAATTTTTGAGGACACCAGAAAATAGGCTTGTAGCTAAACTGATAACTCTGATTGAGGCAGACCTAAAAAGATCGTTCAAAATCTTGAGTGGTTTGTTTCTGAAAACTTTTGAGTTACTTTTGCTAATAGCAGTTTAAGCTTGCTATTTACATCCAAGAGCATGTCCTCTCATTTTAATGGAATGTAATCTTGTGGTCATAAACAGAAGCACCTCCTGATCTAGCTGCTTTCTTCATTAGTGAGCAAAATGAGGTGTGCAGTTTAGTACTAAATCCCATGTCCTCTTCAATTAATGTTACAAATAGCTGTGGGATTGAAGGTACCTTGAAAGAATCTTTTGTCATATCCACTGGTGTAAATAAGTACTCAGAATGTTTTCTTTGGTTTTTGGACAGTATGGATTGGAAGAATAAAGGTAAACCCTTAAAACTCCCTGGAACCCAAATCTGACCTGTATACAGTCCCTAGTCGATGGGGATTTAGTCACTGCCATGGACAGTTGATTCCAGGTTTTAAGCAGCTATTTGTGTGAAATGCCAGCGGAAGTGCTTTTCTGATGGTATTTGGCACTTTAATTCTTAGTGTGAAAAGTGGTGGTGGATTTGATAGATTAGAAACAGTCTGTACAATGTCCGGGGAGGCAGGAAGGGATAGGTACTCTGACTGCTCCTCTCGGAGGCTGCTTGTATTTTCCACTGTGTGACGTTCCGCAGAGCAATCCAGACCAGTGAGGGGCTGTGTCACCCCTGCCGTGCAACTTTGGGTGCCTTGCAATGCTTTGCTATTGTAGCTTCCAACTTGGGTTGCTCACAAACAGACTGCCAGCATGCTGGTCACACCCAGCATGTCTGTGTACAGCTCCAGTCCTGGTCCAGCAGTTCTGACCGCAGCAGCCTGTCAGCACAGCCTGCTGCTTCCACCAGCCTTGGTTATTGCTTGCAGGGTGACCCCAATATGCTCCTAGTCCTGGTTATTTTCCACAAAAATGTGTCTTTTTTGCACTGTCCTGCCCTCTCCTTGGCCGTCCAGATGTTAGGTCTGTTGCCCTTGTAAAGGGATCAAGATACAATAGTTTGCCACTTTAAATGGAATTACCCACACAGTTCACAACACTGGATTAGTTTTGATTAAAGAATAAAACAAATTTATTTAACTACAAGGAGAGGTTTTAAGCTAGTACAAGTAATGAGGCATTGAAGTTACAAGAGAAATGCAGATAAAATGCTTTCTAAACTTAACAAAGTAGACTTGGTTCAAAGTGAAGTTCTTACCTCAGGTTTCCAGTAGCATTGCTGGCCAAGTTTCAGGTGAGGATCTGCTCCCAAGGACCAATGGCCTGTGTTCTTTTGTCCTCTGAGGTGAAAGAGACGGAGAGAGAACTTGGAGTGCTTTTATCCCCTCACTTTTCTAGTCCAGTCCCACTTTGAGATGCATTTTCCTGAAGGTTACCACTCAAAGCAAAGTTTATTAAAACAGTAAAGAAGACAACATGATGACTGGTGGTGAACAAAGTTCCATGATGTTTCTTTTTACCTGTTTGCTGGAATGCGGCTTTTCTTTACCTCCTGCCTTCCCCCCTCGCTGTCTGAGGATTCTGTTTACAACTTGTATGTAAGTTGAGGTAAACACACATTCCTTTCGAGACCTGTGGAAGCAGTTCTGCCTAATTGGGGCTACGTGGGTTTGAACATGTGCCACCAGCATCATTCAGGGAGAATTCAAAACTGTACATGTAATTTATACATTCCACCATTATATTATTAACCATTATTATTGTAAGGTATCAAATAATACCTTACAAGGCATATTTTATACAACGATTATTATAATAGTGTGTAGGTGTGACTACAGGGGTGCATTCCATCGCACACTGGCTCTTCAGGTGGAAGTTAGTTCATGCTTCTGTCAAGGCCATGTGAAGGGACAGTAGAGCCCTTAAGGGAGCATGCTGCCAGGGGAAGGTAGCTCCCAAAAACTGCTCAGAGATGATTGCCCTCTACAAAATTGGAGCTGTTTGTTTTTGAATTCTGGGTTTTGGAGGCCCTTCGCTCATACCCACAAGCAGCTGTCCATTTCTAAGAGGCGCATTGGGTGGTATTTTTAAAAGTGCCTCTTCATCGTTGCATAATTTTTTTCATTACAGCATGTTCTCTAGCCCTTGGGATTGTGGTTTATGGGTTTGTTTTTGTGTAAGTGGGAATGCTGATTCATTTATATTGTTTCTGAGTTCTAGTATTAGTTTTGATGATCTGCTTATAAAATATGCACGTTCCTGTGACTATTATGAACAGCATGGGTGTATGGGTTGAAACTACTTTTGATTACTAGTTAAAGGAGAATGGACAAAATGTTCAAAATGCCTAAAATTGGGCATCTAAAGCCATATTTAGGCACCTAAATTTAAGTAACCATATTTTAAGTTGAGATGATCACCTATAGCTTCAATCAACTGCAATGGGAGCTAGCTGCAAGTGCTCCACCCCACTAAAAATCCAGCTACTTCAGTACTTGAAATAAAACTGCAGTTAATATGGATGTAAAACAAAAAGAGCGCCCAGTCTGTTGTCTGGCCTGAGGTATTTTCCTTGGACATTATCCATGTTCTCTTCAATATGCTTTTTTTCCTATATAATACATAATACTTTTTTTATGTTGGTTGTTTGCAGTTCTCAAACATTCCTTGTTTTCCTCTTGCTGGGGGTACTTGATTCTATTTTATATGCATTGTTTACTGAAGTTACCTTTTGATATGTTGTGGAGAATGTGGAAAATTTCTGTATTTTTATTAAAAAGTATGTGACTCAGTTTCCCCATACATATTGCTTGTTAAGGGTAAAAGTGATGAAGTGATTGGGTGTGTCACATAGACATGTCGGGATTGGTATGAATGGACTATCAAGAACAGCTTCATTCACATGCTGGCAATCTTGGAGATACAGTGGAAGACCAACAACTGGACCATTAACTTTAATGATTGCCAGCTAAGTTGACTGTCTGACAATAATCACCTCCTGCCTGCAACACAGAGCAGGGGAGGGGAAGGAGAGTACACGTGAAAATAGCATGACTGGAATTTACGACACAAGACTGAGGTGTTACGAGACATGGAAGAGAATGATGTTCCAGCATGGTAGAACATAGGTTTTCAGTCCGGGATTGGTTCGAGAAGGCTAGGGACATTTTGCAGCAAGCATATAATTTGCTTTGCAGGCCTGGACAAAGCGGCACCGACCTAACTAAACAAGGGAAAGCTGACAAGTTACGTGAGACGCACGTTCTGGCTTTGATTTACCCTTTGAACCCAATAGCCCTAACTATTGTATTCCAGTTGACTAATAATGTTTTGCTTTGAAAAGGTTGTCCTGTGTCACAGCAAATATCTGCTGGTTGTATAGCTCTCAAGAGGATAAATCTCCAGTAGGGGCCCAAGCTCAAGCTTATTGGGATCTCCTGAAGAAGCCAGTGTGGGGGGAGAAAGGAGTGCTGAAGCTGGGGCCCCAGTCTTAAAGTAGTGAAGTGGTAGGGCTCCCTAGGTGGCAAAGTGGAGGCGCTGAGTTAGGTCAGTTAGGTCAAGACTTAAGAACTTAATTTTAGGGTCAGATGTTTAAACTTTTTAAAATGTATTTAAAAAAATGCACTAAACATTAACATAGGGCTCAGTCACACCTTCCCAGGGAAAAAGAAGAGTGTGAGCTGAATCTTTTTTTGAGGCTTTCAGTAATGACCTGCACCTACCCCAAATTTTGAACATGTAGGTCTAGCACTGAATTCAAAATACTAACTCCCTGTCATGGAGAAGATCACGTCATGTGAATTGG